CCCGGGCACAGGGGAGCCCCCGCCGCCGCGCCCGGGCGGGCTTCGCTGTGCCCCCCCCGCCCCTAGGAGCTCCCAATGTGGGGCAGGGCGGCCCCGGCCCGCGCTGGGGGCCGGGGGGGGGCAGGTGGGTCCTGGTCCGCTCAGGCTTGGGGGGGAGGATGGAATCGCCCCCTCCCCCCACCGGTGTGTCCCGGGGGCAGGGGGCGGGGATCGGATGCAGCGACCCCAGCACCGCGATGCGGGCGAGGGGCAGAGACCCGTGCAGCAGCAGCCGGGGCCCGATCAGGGCGGATCTCCGGGCCGGGGGGCAATAGGGCCCGCTGCTCCCACCCCGCCCTTGCCCTCGCCCTCCATCCTCTGCCACCAGCGCCTTCCCTGCCCTGATGCTGCCCGAGGGACCACGTACTCCTTAGCACGGGGGGGCTGAGCCCCAGGCAGATCCTGGTTCCCCCTCCAGGCCCTCCGCTGCGCAGCGCAGCGCACACCCAGGGGATACCGGTTCTCATGCTCTGGCAGAGGCGCTAGCCCCGGCCTCCTCTTCCCCTGTCTGCTTGCCACTGTGGCCCCTCGGGGAGTCTGCCCCTAGCCCACCTGGGGAGGGAGGCAGTGGCAGCAAAATCACACTGGGGCTCGGCACTAAGGGCCCTGGATGCCTGCCAGCTGTGGGGCAGAGCCAAGAGGTGGCAGGATCTGGGCAGCCTGGGTGGGGATGGGTGTGAATCCTTGGAGTAATCCCACAAGAAAAGAGCATCAGGTTTCTAGGCTTTGGGCCCAGGGACACCATTTTGCCCTGCCTGGGGCAAGGAAGCGAGAGACTGTGCCACAGCCCAGGAGAGTGTCCTCACAGCCAGTGTGTGGGTCAGCTGGGCTGGGCTGCAGCCTTCTCCATCTTCCTCCTGAGCTGTGTTGCCAGGGGGGCAGGCTTCCCAGGGCAAAGCAGAAGGCTGGTGAGCTGAGGCCTTGCGCTGTAGCCCAGAGGCTTGGGGGTGCTGCAGGCTGGGCCTGGGAGACCTGCTCTCCAGCCTCCTCTTGAAGAAGTGAGGAGGGGGAGGGAAAGGGAGAGAGAGGCACAGGCAGACGCCAAGGGAAAGAGAGAGAGAGGCAAAGTCGAAGTATGTAGCATAGTGAGTTGAGCATTTCCCAGCAACTGGATCTCATTAATTACGGTCTCTGCTCCCGGACTTGCACTGCTGCTTGAGCTGTGCCATATGTGGCACAGGCAGCCTTTGTGTGCAGCACATGGCAGGGGCAGGGAGGAGAAAGCAGAGCAGCAGATCAGTCAGAAGAGGGGAATCCTTGGGGAGTGCATGGGGGGCAAACTTTGTGGCACCCCTGCCTAAAAAAACAGTTGTCCCCCATTGGCCTAGACCATAGGTGTGTACAGGCAGCTCCTGGGCTGAGACTATGGGCAAACTGAGGGGAAAACAGTGGTGTGGAAAGTGACTGCAGCCTCACAAGGGCCCCAAGGTGTGCTAGGGGCTGTGCAATTTGATGGGCAATTTGATCCTTCTCTAGAGCTTGCAATAAGGAAGGCTTGCAATAAGGTCACTTGTCCCCTGGAGCTGCCCTCCCCTGCCCTGAAGGGTTGGCTCTTGGTGAATCTGGAGCAAATTTCTTTTCTGCTGTTGCCTGCCTGGACTCCATTTTCCTCTGCACCAATTCTCTCCTTAACATCACTCAGGCATGGCCCACATGGGGCACCGCTTCCCACACACACAGCACTCTGTGCCTGCACCCCCTTCACTTGCAGACTGGTGGTGACACATCTCTGACACTGCCAATACCCCACAACGCGCTTGCTGGCAGCTATCGGCCAGGCTAACGGTTCCTCTTACGGCTGTATCAACCTAAATTAACTGCAGGGAAGCCACAGGCACTGGTAAGACCCAGTGGTGGGAAACTCACCATCCTGGCATAGATGTCTGGGCGGAGCAGGCCTGGGTGCCTCTGCCTTTCCGCAGCAACTAAGTACCTAGGAAGGCAGTGCCAGACATAGCCGCTAGTGAGGGTGCGTCTGCCTGGGCCCTGAGGTCACAGCACACACTCCCCAGGCTTGTCTCTGTGGCTCCACCCATGCATTCACATTAGCGCAGCTCCTGGCAGAGGCTTTAAGGGAAAGCGTGTGCCCCACAGCGCGTCGTCCTTAAATCAGACAGCTACGGAAAACGGCAGGGTGGGTGGGCCTTGGCTTCTGCTCCACACCGGACTCAAGCAGTGGCCGTGTCAACACGCCTGGCTGGCTGAGTTGTGCTCATGTGTGTGATGCTGCTGGCTCTCGTGCTGTCCATTTTAAAGCCAGCTCCTCTCCATTGGCTTCTCAAGGGAATCCCAGCCTGATCCCTCCTGAATGAGTG